CAGCCGTAGTTTGGAATGCAGTTATAGCCTTGATCAGAATGTCAATCTTGGCTTTCAAATCCACTGAGATACTTCCACCTCCGCCGATTGTGATGCCTCCACCGCCTCCAATAGTAATGCCTCCACCGCCTCCAATGGAAATGCCTCCACCGCCTCCGATTCCAATTCCAATACTACCAATGATATTAGTGATAGCACTCAAAGTGGCATTAATCAGAAGTTGAAGACTGGCGCTGATGCTGCCAAAGGCACTAGTTTGGAAAGAAGCAAAAGCTTGAATAAGAGCAGAAAGAGCAACCTGAATTTCCACACCAACTGAACCACCAATGCTTCCTTGTAAAGCGCAGAGAGCTCTTATGGCGGCTTCAATCTTAGCCTGAAGGTCTACTCCAATACTGCCTCCTGCTTGGAGAGAAATTAAAGCTTGCAGTGCAGCATTAAGTTTTAGTTGAACGTCCGCTGTGATACATCCAGCAGCGCTGGCTTGGAAGGCGGTTATAGCCTTGATCAGAATTTCGATCCTGGCTCTCAGCTCCGCTGAGATACTTCCACCACCGCCGATAATAACGCTACCGCCAGCTAAAGCTCTTAGTATAGCTTCTATTTGGAGCATAAAATCTGCTGAGAAACTGCCACCGACACTTGTTTGGAAAGCAACGAGAGCTCTTATGCAAGCAGCCAGTTTAACTTGAATGTCTACTGAGATGCCAGCACCGACGCTAGATTGCCAAGCACATAAAGCTCTTAATAAAGCTTCAACACTAGCATAGAATTCCGCTCCAATAATACTTGAACCGCCTACTCCAATACAAGCAAGGTTTCTCATCACAGCATCAATCTGTATCTGGAGATCTGCTGTTAAGGTGGCACCAGCAGCCAATTTGAAAGCAGCTAACGCTCTCAATGCAGCCTCAAGCTTAGCCTGAACATCCCATGAAAGACTAGTGCCGCCAGTGAATATAACTTGAGCACCGCCGCTTACTTGAGCTGCAGCTACGGCTTGCAGAACAGCTTGAACTTGGGCTTTTAGATCTGCGGAAAGGTATGCTTCCAAATTAATTCCATCTGTGGTGGCCTTTACAATTCCTCCAACATCTTTGACAGTTTGGCCGAGACCGGTAGTGAGACCGCTCAATAAACCACCGACTCCGCCTAATAGTCCACCAACAGTGCCTGTTAAACCATTAACTGCATTTCCAACTCCACGAACTGTGCCAGTCAAGTTTGCTCCTGCTTTGACTCCTGTAATAATGAAATGTTTTACGGAAAAGTACAAAACAAAAATACCAGCATTAACTGCGGCTCCAGCTTGGCCAGTAATTGCAGCTAAAGCTTGAGCAGTTGCGCCAGCTCCGGCTCCAGCAGCAACTTGGGATCCTCCACCGCCGCCAAGCAAACCGCTCAGAAGTCCTCTGCCTTCTTTATAGTCGGGAACGCTCTGAAGTCGTCGTAATTTGAGTAAAGTATGAGTGGATTGTAATTACCTTGGCAGATCCAAGAGCTAGGAGCGCAGTCAAGAGCCAGATGACTCGAACTCTTCTCATGATTAATGAGATGGGTGAGGATGAAACCCTCGGTCCAGCCTTATATATCACATCGTCAGCTTCTTATCTCTAGCAGTAGTAAGCAAATTCATAAAAAAATTTTAATTTCAATGTTTGTTTTTCATTAAACAAGATAATCAAAAACAATAACATGTCAGCTCCTTACACCTGGCGTGTTCTTTTTTGATAATAATCTGAGGTGTTTCCCTGTTAGCTGCATCAACTGCAATTCAAAGCAATAAATTAAAACTGATAACATGTGTTTACCAAGAGTATTATCAACAACAACCATTTTCTCTTCCTGGAATCCTTGTTAGCTACCTTATTCTCCCATTGTGTTATCATTCTGCATGCATACTTCTTCCATATGCACCCAAGTAGTTTGACTAAAACATAAAATCATTTAGGTAAAGCATATGTTCAACATGAACACGGAAGTGATTTCCAATGAACTCTTAGTGCATCAGTTTCTATCAGTTTCTGACGTCAATCAAGCTTCTCCGTAAGATGTTTTTCATAAAAGTTTGCTTTGCGGATTCTCACTTCAGAATATGAACTTTGTAATCTTCGACTATCTACCTCACTACCGGGATCATAGTTAGTGATCGCTAGAAGTACGTTTCCAGTTATACTTCTTGAGTTCCAAAACAGGGTAAATCGTTTCTTAACTCCTAATGTAAACCATAAACCCTTGTAGATTGTCTTTACAGAAAACAATTTGAAATTATTCTATTCGGATTGTATATCTACCTGCTCTCAGTGTTCATAGTTCAATCTCATCTCTATCAAATCAAGTAATACAACTACAGATTCACAAATTGATTTATTAGTTACATTGTTTCTTTGAAACAGAACCGACAATAGCCATGTAGGTGATGCAATTTAAAACGAATTATTATGTTTTTTTTGTTTTACAGCAAGTATTTCAATACGAATTATAATGTACAGAAGTGTTTATCATAAGACCATATTCATTGAGACCATCCGATTTGAGCTTTTGGTGTGTCCATTGGAAGAGTACCTTCCAGCTGAAATCATGAACCAGTAAGTTTCCAATGTTAAACTTCACTCACATGAATTCTATCTTGATTCATCATGCGTTCTCCTAACTTGCAGAGCCCGAAGAAAAATAAAAAGCCGACAACGATGATTGCTGCTCCAATCACAACTAGAAAATAGTTTTTCTTACACACAGTTACACACAATCTTGGGTTTTCAACAGTTTGAACCAAGTTATGGAAGTGAGTCATTAAACTTACTTGTGTAGACAATTTTTTATTATCTCCCTCTCTGTCTATCTCTCTCTCTATTCTCTCTCTCTCTTTCTTTCTCTTTATCTGTCTTTCTATCTATCTCTTTTTTCTTTCATCTTTTCCGCTCGCTATGCTTTTTTTCTTTCGTTTCATGTATGCTGTGTACTTTTTCATTTTGAACTCACGGAGTATAATTGGAGGCCCAGTTATGACAAATCCAACAATAGCAGCAAACTCAATTATATAGACAAACCAAGCAAGAACCTTCAATACATTAGCTTTCACATCAGCTCCGGAATGAGTTCAAAATACCTGACGATGAAAATGAGATCCGATGAAGCTCGCTACTGGAGCAACTATAAGTGCTATGGGGATTGTAACCTTCACATAGCTATACATATCTTCAGAGACATCGGCCGCCCATATAGCACGATAATACCCCGAAATCAAAGCATTCATACCTTGAGAAATGATATAATTAGCTAAAGAACTCAAATACATCTCCTCACCCATTATTTCAATTGTTGTGGGCGTCGCAACTTTTTCAGAGATGCGGAAGAGTACGGTAATGATGGAAAACAGGCAAATGTCGGTACCAGAGCCGGTAAATGCCGTTAGTATTCCTGAATATTATTTTCATAACTATCATTTTTTTGTATCAAACCTCCGATAAAGCCTGTAACAATCAGAATAATCGCTTTCTGATAATTCATATTCTGAATTTCACTGTAAGTTTTACGCTTCTTCTCTCTGTTCAGGATATACAAAGCTACAGCGAATGATGACCAGATTGATACGAAAAGCATTTTCTTTTGAGGCCCCGTTAGTAAATGATCAAACTGAATGGATATTTGAAAGTTTGACAAAGCAGGTTGGAGTTTCCTACATATTCAAAACCGACGATCAACCCTGGTATACTTCCCATTAAGCCGAATAGAGTAGCTTTTGATTCTACTTGTACTCTCATGAAGTGAACAGAAAAAGTAGCACATACAAGTCCTAAGAATGAAGAACCGATTAAACGCATTCAATTAGTTTTCTTGCCAGCACACTCAATCAGTACAGCGAAATCGCGAGCATCTCCTGGGTCCACATGCATTGCCAATGTCATGAAAGGGAATGCAACAGCCCCACCACTCTCGGCTGTCATTCCTATTATAGAACTTGTAAAACTATTTTTGTGTTTGCTTTTCCGACCTGCTACAGTACATCCAAGAATCATAACAATTGGCATTTGCCAATGTGTTTCATATAATCTGAACCAGTTGTAGCGATAAGCTGTCAATAGCCAAATGATCTGGAAGAAAAAATAAAATTTTAATTATTTAGACTTCTGCAAGTTCAACGGACCATGGCGATACTGGTGGGGAGAATAACAGCTACATATTTACGGTGGGTAATGAGAATTCTTTCGAAAAAGCTGGCATCTGGGGGTGGTTCAACCTTAACAGCACTCAGCTGTTGACCTGACAGTAACAAGGTTATTTTCGTTCATTTTAAGCCTACTATATACAAATGCGAATAATCTACATACCAGCTAAAAAATATTTTTTGAACCATGCTGCTGGAGTTCTTTTAGTTGACTGCTGTTCATCTAAACAGTAGAGAATGAATGTTATGACCCGAAAACAGAGATACCTGTAGAAGATTCAGTTGAGTTCGAGATAGTGACCGTGGTCATTCTGCAAATGAATAGAAGTAAAATGAAAGATTCAATTTGCCGAACAGAATGAGCGATAGGCGGATTCACCAAAAATGCGGTTCTAAGATGAAAGGTAGAAATCAAGGGTGTTGGGGAGTTTTCAAAGATGGATTTTCCAAGACACACTGATAATTAGGTTAAAAACATGAAAAAGAAGAGCGAAAAAGCCTGGTTCTGCAAATGATACGTCTTTAAAAATCATGAAATTGTTTAGAACAAAAGGTAGAATTACGTTTTTCGATCTCAGAAACTAAAAGTCATGACGTCAACTTAGTATTCTCAAAGTTGTATCTCAAATAGGAAATGATACGAACTGATCTGGTTACGTTACGCACTTACGAAAAAATGTGTTTTGAAATGATTGAAGATAAAGAGAAAGATAGATTGGTTCGGATATCATTTGTTGACGGATGAAGTCAACGATTCAAACGGCATTTATGGAAATTACAGGAGTTGACGTTTAGATGGGAGGAAGATCAGAATGAGGAGATGATGGATGAATTGATAAGCTGAAAAGGAAATGAAACAAGATGGAACTTACAACATATTAGCTGTCAAAAGCTATTTTCATCTATTTTCTGTCTGTATACCCAAAAATAGCTACAAACCTATGGTTGTAAATCGTTTATGGCTGGCGTGAGAAAAACAAATAGGAAAAAGGAAAAACCTTCTTCACTTTTCGAAGAAGCTTACACAAATCTGCCAAATTTGGAGACATCTACTTAATTTATCTTCATCTGAATGGATGTTCATGTGGGAACATGATGGGACGGTAAAGGAAACAGAGTCCTAGCGATGAATAGAAACGCCAGAATAGAAAGAAGGGTGGATGGATGTAACTTCATGGGAATACAGAAAAATTGATGGGCCGGATGCGAGTAACAAGGTACACCTTGTGTATGCTAGGAAGTGATGAATGAAAACGATTTTTAATATGTCTCTCTTCCTGTTTCAATCTGGATTCATAGAGATGACGTAATCAAGATGTTCTTTCAATAATATTTAGAGATTAAGATGGAGAACAGATGATAGCAACAGAAGCCGTCTGGGGCAATGGGCTATACATAGAACTAACCAGATTATATACTGGATGATCAGCATTTAATAATGTTTCTACCATTATATGCATCAGGCAAAAGTGGGAGGAGAAACTGGATGTTTGGAAAAGTTGTTAACAGAACTTAACGTAACATCACATAGTATGGATTTAAGCTAAGAAGCATCTAACGTTACAGATCACAAGGTAACATCGAAGTTACAGGTTTCATCGAATCATCATATCAAATGGAGAGTAGAGGGAGTAGTCTGTACCTACAGAAGAGCCGAACGAAGATTAAAGTCGAGATCAGAATCTGAATGTTAAACAGAAAAAAAAGGCGAAATAATGGTATAATTGCCGATTAATCTTTATGTTCGGAAATATTATAGATAATACATATCTGAGAGAAATAGATGAAAAGAAACAAAAATGAAAGCACAGAGATAGCGAGAGTTGACAGAAAACATGCGGCATGTTATGAGTGCAACATAATCCGCGCTTACTGATTCATGAAAGTTCATCAATCGAACAAATGATTATCAACTGTCCAAATGCATTTTTTCCCTCTCTCTCTATGTATATATAAACACCTAATTAGAGAGTTATTCTCTGACTAGTTCTGTTCAATCATCTAGCAGTCTATTTTTAGTTTTCAGATTTACCGAATTGTCAATGATCTTTACAGTTACGTGCATACACACACATACCACCAATACCTATCCTCATAACTCTAACCGCCCTATAACTTCCTCTTCTCATACACAGAGAGACATACATGGTCATATAAACACACAAATACTTGAGCACATGACGTCTATTGCCAATTTATAGTTTAAAAAAAAACTAAAGTTTTATATTAAAAAGAAACAATTGTGAATTTTTGTTGTTTCCAAATAGCCGAAGATGGCAGGTTACCTGTCATTCAGACAAGTTTCCTATAACTGTATGTTTCAACACTTCCATACAGCATTAGAAAAGATCTGAATGATCAATCGTTGCTAGCAAATCTGAATTACCCAATAAGAACAATGAAGACTCTCTCTCTCTCCCTGTATAGTGTAACGGAGATGAAGGTTATAGTTAGGACGATTCGTCTTCAGAAAACACCTTTTCAACTTCATTTTCAAGACGATGCTTGTCTCAGCCCAGACGAATACAAAATGAAAAAAAAAAGCAAAAAGAAAGAATATTTATCTAATCAATCTTTATTTGCGCATAAGAAACACAGCAAAAACATTCACTGTAGTAATGAAAGAGTAGCTCTGACATTGCCAGTTGATTTCCTTTTTCAATGAGTGAAAAAGAATACCTAAGGGATGACTTAAGTTCTGATTGAACAGCTATCTAAGGCCGATTGATCGAAGTGGATAGTTCATTTATTTTCATGGAGATCCAGTATTGAGATATCCCCAAGAACAGAAACATCGAGGTTCGTATCGTCAACGGAGCCGATTCCAAATGAATCATTCTAAACTGTCTTGCCTTCTTCATAATCAGTGATTTGATTGGTTATAATAAACAAGCATGCTGAGGCTGTTAGCAGACACCCAGACAGATCTAAGAGCAGTGAACTGCCAACTTCTTATCTTCGGTAGTAGTAAGCAAGACCAAGACAGTTTTCAATTCCTTTATTTGTTCTTATATTTAACAAGATCATCAAAAACAATAACATGTCAACTCTCTAAAGCTGAACTATTCATTTGGTATTGATAATGTAATATTCTCAAGTTCTATCCCTATGTGTATCAATTGAAATGAGTGTAGAGTGAATACCTCTTTACAGCTCCTTGCGAGATAACGCTTGGGAGATTAATAACAAACTATTTGATATCTAGATCTCACGCAACAATCTAATAAGTAAAGCCAAATATAACAAACATTGAGTTCCAGACTTGTCTCCCCATAACTCAAAACTATTTAAGTCAATTCAAATACTGGCCGACACACACTGAAATGTAATCCACTGAACTTTGTGAACTCCACGGATTATAAGTTGAACGATCAATATCAAAAGGCTCTACCGCCACCAGTTCGATTCCTATTTCCACTAGCATTGGGAGTTATTCGGAGACAACAGACTGTGAGCTACCGTCTCCAATCATATCACTCAGTATTATGTGAACCAACTAACAAAAAAAGTAGAATTACTAGAAGTGTTCCATAAAACGTTTGTCGATCTGATAAAGCTTAGAATCTACGTGGCATCTTCATGATGAGAAGGTAAAATCGTTTTTTGGGTACTGGAGTACCACCTCCGAAGTTGAAACCACCAGTTAGATCGTAACCCAAATCAAATGGATATTGTCCAAACATTCCGTTATTGACACCATTCATAAGGTTAGCTCCAGTTTGAACCTGAGCTCCTAGATTAAGACCGAGTCCATTGGAGCCGGTAACAGTGTTGATCACACCGGTTGCAAGATTATCAACAGTGTTCACTAAATTATTAGTTAATCCATTTACTGCTGATCCAACATTTTGCAAAGTTTGTCCGAGACCACTTGTAACACCTTGGAGGAGATTTAAGAGACCTCCTTTGTTATTTTTAACTACGTTATTTGAGTTGAAACCTGAAATTGAAACAGTTAGACCTTATAATGAAATTAGCCACATTACCAGTTGCCGCAGGTGCAGGAGCAGGAGCAGGAGTACGCACACCGAGCAAGTTGCCCAGAAGTCCTCTGCCTTCTTTATAATCAGAAACACTCTTAAGGTAACATTTAAGTTGAATCAAGTATGTGAACTAGAAAAACCTTAGCAGATGCAAGAGCTACGACCGCAGTGAAAAGATAAACGATTTGAACTTTTCTCATGATTAATGAGATGGGTAGTGAGAAGACTCTCAGTCCAGCCTTATATAATCACATCTTCACCTTCTTATCTTCGGTAGTAGTAAGCAAGATCAAGATAGTTTTCAATTCCTTTATTTGTTCTTATATTTAACAAGATCATCAAAAACAATAACATGTCAGCTCTCTAAGGCTTGAATATTTCAATTGATAAGCATAGTCATTAGGTAATGTTTCAATTGTCTATCTGGGTTTGTGATGCTGGAAATGAAATAGAGGTTTCAAGATCATTATGTGTGTTTTGCGTTTCGTTAGTAAGCTTTTCGATTACCAATCTCTCATAGACTAAAACATAAGATCGTTCAGGTAATGCCGAAGTTCAATATGTACACGGAACTGATTCGAAATCAAACGGTAGTGCATCGATGTCTATCACATTCTGACGACAATGACGTTTCTCCTTAAGCTGTTTTTTTTCCAAAAAAGTTTGCTTTGTGGATTTCAACTTCTGAACATGGTAATATTGATTTCAGTTTCAAATGGAGAATAAATCGAAAAAACTGCTTTTACTTCCTCATCAGACGAAGTCGTACAGGAAGCATCACACTGGTTGAGCAGTGTGTGAAAAATCCAACATACATATAGTATCCCTTACATTACAGAAGCTTTTTCGAACTTCCTGGGATATCAATAGAAACGTAGTTGTAACTCGTATTAGATCCAAGAGCTGTTAGTGCAGTCGAGTGATATGATTTGGACTCTGCATATGATTAATGAGATGGGTGAGGATGAGACGTTCTGTCCAGCCTTATATATCACATCGTCAGCTTCTTATCTCGAGCAATAGTGAGCAAGTTCATGGTAGTTCTTGGTTCAGCTTCTTCATTTGTTCTGATATTGAACAAGCTCGTCTTAAAAGAACAACATGTCTGTTTCTCGCCCTATGACGTCGCATAGGCTGAATAAGATGGAGTCCAGCCAATGGTGAAGTTCAACTTGTACACGGAACTGATTTCAAATCGCACGAGAGTACAACATTTTCAATCATATTCTGATGATAAGGACTTATCTCTACGACATATTTTTCAACAAAAAACGTTTACTGTGTAGATTCTCCTACTCAAAACGTGGAGCTGTTGCCTTCAGTTTTGATTTGGAAGTACGTTAGACAGCTTCATTAAGTTTCTTCAACGATGAAACGTAATGTGATAAAAGTGATTAGACTACCTCTATAGTTTTGTTTTGATTTAGTTGAAGATATCCTTATTGTTAGTTAAACCCAAAATGTAAGAAAGGAATGTCATATTCAAGCACAGTCTCCAATGAGCTTGATACGACTCTAACTTCTTACGCTTCTAGGTAGGTTTAGGAGAAATATATATAATCTTATTTCCTGTTTCTCATACATATATGCTGCTATGAAACCAATTTATGTAAACTTGCATTTCCATCGTTTTGATCAGGCATAAGCCATATGAATAGCAATTCCAGCTGATCGTTTCAGTTATTCTCGGCTTTCTTCTGACATCAAAGCACCGATTCAAATCATAAAACCTGCTCATTTGGAAGAAGCTGAATGATGAGTTTCGTTACTGCCTGAACCCGGAAATTATTTTTCTTTACTCGACGACGACTCTAAGAAGCATCAGTCACCGGAGTATTACATCTTTTTCACTTTCTTTGGCTAGAAAGACTTTGTGCAGAGATGAGAGAAAACGATTTAAAAATAATTTTTATAACAATCAATTACAGAGGGTATGAATGTTCAAATACTTTCTGTCTGCTGACAAAGAGATACATTTTCAGAATATTTTCATCTGGAGAATGTTAATCAATTGAATTTCCGCGAAAAAATAGCTTTCAAAGGAAAAAAATAGAAGTGGTTAAGGCATCGATTGACCAACATTTGAATATTTTGTGGAATTTCAATGTAACTGAAAAAGGAACAAAGCTACTTTTCATTATAACCATCTCAACGCAATTGTCAGCTCATTGATACCGTTCGTCGTTTTCAATAAGGTTCGGAAAGTTTTTATTTTAGAAATCAATTGGATATTTGTTTTTGTGTTGATGTTGACAATGGCAGATAGTATAAGAATGAATTGTTTCATCGAATATCATGAGTCTAGAAAGGACCACGACGGGAACTGCAAACGGCAGAACATTCAGAAATCATACATGCTCTGATAAGCTTAAGAGTTGCAAGAGCCTCTTGCTCTCCAGCTTCTCCTGGCATATGACCAAGTTCATGGGTGGCTGCCTAAATGACAAAAGATGTACTTATCACGTCACTCACGAATTTTTTTTATTTTTCTCTCAAATCGGATTGAAATGAGACACAATAGAGATATCCTGAATGATATCTTGTGACATCTTTTTTTTTCAAATAGTAGAGAATTGGACTTACAGCAGCAACAGTATACCAACAGTCTTTCTTACAGCATTGACAGGGAATCTGGATGTGTTCTTCTATAGAACATGAAACTACTGGTGTGTTTGATGAAGAAGAAAGATCAGCCGATGGTGCTGACAGAGCTGAAACAAGATTCTGTTAACTAGTACGTCACTCTATCAAGGATACCAATTAAGGGAAGAAGAGCACACAGAAGAACGTAACGAGTGACTGAGCTCATGACTGATGGTAAAGACGATGGTACTGATAACCTGAAACTAGTCAATGAATAAGTTAGAACCTCGTAGAAAGTTTGGTGAGAGAGTGTTGAGCAAGTTTTTAAGACAAATCCTTATATACTCAAGCCGTGAATGACAAATTACTAAGTATCAAGAGATTTCTGGTAATTCGAAACGCATCTTGAGTTAGAAACCAAGGATACGAAAGCCAATAAAAAAAATAAAACAGTCAACTCTAATTGGTGTAGAGATGAATGGAGCTACGAAATAAAGCTTAGATGAACATGCAAATTTTTGTGCAAACTGGATATGGAGATGAATCGGGATATGCTCAAATTTGAAAAGTCATTCGGATTTCGAGAGAATACATAGAAATTTAAAATGAAATTGAATGTGTGGGTGTCAAGTGAATAAACTACTTCCACTTGTTCATTCATCATCTGAAGTAGTAGAGAGAGCTGCATTTTTACAGACTTTCTATTTATAAGCTGAAAAAAGGCGTTAGACCATCAACCTGAGTTCATTCGAATAATTTATTTATTGTTTATATGAATATGGCATTCTATAGTCAAGATTGTTTCAGAGATATACATAATCGCAATGATCTTCCTTCTCTTGTTTGTGGCACAAAATAAGTTGACAAGAAAATGAACTTGATTGGCCAGGAAATTGAAGCTTCAAACGAGATTGGACTGAGCAAAGAGATGAAAGTGAATGATGAGTAGATGATGCAAAAACTACTTCGGCTATTCGAGAATACCATAAAAGCCAATTGAATATGAAGAAAATGAATTGCCTAAAGAGTATGTAAATCAGAATGAAACTTCGTCTTCACTCATCATTCTGACAACTCTATAAATGAAGAACAACAGAATATCCGTCTCAGAAATATGTTAATTTATACGACTAGTTGCCTCATGCTGGGGCGGGACTAAAGGCGGTCTCCAAGAATGGCTTACCTCACTCACTTATCTTCTTCAATTCAAGATCTTATTGAGATACAAGCTGGATATTTTGTTATTTAGGAAACACTTACAGAATTCAATGAGGATACGGAATAATATTACAGAATTGAACGTTTTCACGTGAACGTGCCAACGCACCCAACAAGCACATTTATCAAAAGTTTTACGCATTGAGCGGTTGTGCTTTAACACCACTACTCTATCTCATTCTATTCCCCTCTCTCCTTCTCTCTTTCTCTCTCTCTCTCTCTCTCTCCTTCTGTCTAGGACTCTTTGCAACAATCTCCTTGTTCATTCTCTGCTTTTCACACTTTTGGAAAGAATATGAGCGGCGGTCTCCGGCTCATAAAATATATTTAGAACAAATTTAAATAAACGAAAAGAATAAGAATGCCCAAAGCCGCCCCCATCTAAATCTTTACGAGTAAGACGTCTGTATGTGATATGGGAAACGAAGTGTCATAAACATGCTAAAGAAATAATTTTGTTGTATGGAAAATTGCCGTATTTAACATCTCATTCAGAAGCTTCTTCTCTCATTTCGATGTTATTCTGACCTTTTTTTTCGAGCAGAAAGGGTAAGTCTATGCAGTGTACGTAACTTCACTGGAACTGATGTGCACGAGCTTGAAACAACAGAAAAAAATTTTTCGAAACAACGATGCAAAAAAGATAACAAAAGTTTTAACCCAAAACGTATCCGATCGGAGATGAGAATATATCCGATCCAAAAACACTCCAAAGTCATTTTGAGGACAGAAAGGAAAGAAAAATATGATACACTCCATCTCTTTTATAACTGTTCTAGAGAGAATTGTGTTTGGCAAGCATTTGAAGAGAAAAAATTAAAACAAAGAGAGAAATGCAAAACGTATGGAGAGACAGATATGTATAAGATGGAAATAGAGAGAGAGGTGGAGAATGAGAAAGAGAAACAAAAGAATATCTGGAAGGAAGTGGGGGAGTAGCTACTGCATAACTAGTAAAGTTAACTATATTTGAGCATTTTTTTCTCGAAAGCCTCGGCTGGTTTCTTTCAGAAGAAAAAAGATCTTTTATAGCCCTCCAGAAGCTATCGGCATTGGTCAAACAACGTGCCCATTGTAATGTTTTGGCAACAAAATTTTGAAGATTTTGGTTTATTTTGGTTGTACAAAACGTTCTATAGCCATATACGTCATTTTCCTTTCTTTCTTCACGCACTTTCCCTCTTTCTCTACATTCTACAATCTCTCTCTCTATGTATCTGTGTTACTCTCCTAACTATAACCCAAACCTTTGAAGTCATAGAAGCTTTCTTCCTAAGCGGAATTAATAAGGTAAGATGCTCGAGAAGAAGGAAGTCTAATTATAATTTGATTCTCATTAGGTAACATTCAAATTTATTTAAAACTTTTTTTTTAACTTCTCATTACAATTTCTCTCTCTGCTTCTCGCTCCCTCTCCCTATACCTTCCTCTCTCATATCCATTTTCAGCTTCTCCTATCTCTCTACCACTTTCTTATTCTGATTGTTTCAACATAATGAAGCTGTTTACAGAATACATTAGAAAGTAATTTTTTTCTCGAATAAAAATTTTTTTTTCAATCTTTCAGTTATTTTAAAAGAAAAATTTGTTTTCAGCTCTCATCCGATTAAAAAAAAATTTTCCACCCTTCTCCTCTATCTCAAGCATCATATTGACTGAGATATCTGGAAAATGGTTTTGAAGAGAAAAAAAAATGAATGAAGGGTTTATAGCATGTGATGGATGGCATGAAATGAAATGTTGAAATACCGAGAACATCTCCATCTCTCGTTCTCCCTCTTGTAACAGATTTCTCATGACATGGTCCTGATTCTCGACAGATTTATTTGCTTCCAAAAAATATGTTCAAAACAAGCCTTCTGTTCATGTAAAAAGTGGAAGCTTGAATGAAATATTACCAAAACTAAAAACTCTTCCTCTTTTTCCCTCCCAGTCATCGAATCTCCAAACTCTCACTCTCTCTCTCTCTCTCTCTCTCTCTCTCTCTCTCTCTGTCTCTTTCTCATTTTCTCTCTCTCTTCTCTTTATAGGCTCTGCCATTGCTTGTAGCTTATGTCCTTCACGTCAAAATTATTTCCCTGTCTTAAATACAAAGAACAAATCGTGAAACAATGAGTATTCTGAAGAAAATTAATGAGAATTCCATCAGATCACCTCGGTACAGTGGACGAGAACGTACGTGACGCTGAAGAGTTCAACGAAACGTTAATTCAAAATGTAATTTATCAATAATAAACGGTATATGAAATGTTAAATAATAAGTGCAACGAATTCAAAGAACTTGCTCTCGAGCGCATTCAACTCATCACATATTGCTTTCAGGGGGCTGTGTTGCAGCTAGCAAAAGCATATGGTCGTAAAGTGAGCAAAATATTTTTTTAATCTCAAATGAGACTAATTAAGCTGATAAATTGGTTCAATTGTATGTCACCTTAGTAAACTGCAAGACGACGTGTGTGAAGATGAACAAAGAGAAATAAAAAAAGAAAAAAAGAAAACACGTTTTCAAGCTGAAAAATAACTTGAAAGTACAAAATATTTTTTTTTGACAAAAAAAAAGGATTACGGCGGGGGGGGGGGGGGAATCTCGAAGAAGAAGATGACAGCATCCTCGTCGTTCTGTTGTTATACAATCATCTGAGTACTCAGTTGAATGTGCATATGGGAATAAATATAATTTTGTTATAATGGCTGCATACAATGATACCCATCTTTGTTTTAAGAACTGCCAGTAGCTACTCATAGACAACTCCTCGAATGATTTTCCCGTTTGTTTAGAGCTTCTGCCTGCTTTCTGACCTCAGGCTGTTTTATGTGCAAACGATCTCAATTCCGAGTAATCTGGCGAGAATGACGAGAGAGAAGGATGTCTCTGATCTATTTTTATGACAAAAATATACTTTGTGGAAACAAAAGTCTGTAGAGATTAGAGGACAAAAAAGAGAAATGTCAATTTGGAGCATGACAAGTCAGGGACAACATTGTTTCAGTCGTCTCCACTAGCTTGCTTCTGAAAAAAAAGAGGAAGTGTAGTCAATCTCCTGTGAAAAAAAAGGCGAAAAAATCATCCGCCTACTGTAAATGGAAATCTTTGCCGGGTATTGGCAAAATCTGATTTAACCAATGAGAAGGAATGAGAGAGGGAGAGCGAAGAAAAAGAAAGAGAGAGAGAGGGAGCAAACGAAGAAGGGAAAATGACAAATAAGATGTCGTTAACCATACACAAATTCTAAATAAATATCAAGGAATGATGTCATTTTAGAAGAAAATCATTTACGTTCGTTATCGTTCGAATTACGATTGAATTTGTGTTTGATGTCCTCTGGTAACTTGCTTAGACACTTCTTCCGATATCTTAATTCTCACATGGCTCTGAGAAAGATACTTCTCATCAACGTCAATGAAACTTCATTTGATACTTGAACAAACAACGTGGAATTACCGTTTTTGATGATCCATTGATTCTCAAATTGGTTAAGCTGCTTAGCATCAGACATGTAAGCTAGTCAGATATCGGAAAAGTGAAGGCAAAACCAGAGAACAGAAAACTGGGGATAGAAACTATTCAAAAAAAAAATTTTCATTTTTGTAACATAATTGCTTAACAAACGATGAATCTCAGAAATTTATGAAAAAATACTGAAGCAATCAGAATTTCAGGGATAAAAAACATTATTCATTCGTATATGCGAAGAACGTGAAATTGGTAACTTGAAGGCTTCGCTTCCACAACGAACGCTTTGTAATCTGACAATATGCTTACTTCAGTTTGATACTATACAATATCTCTTAGGTCTCAAAGTTACATAATGAACTCTGATCCTTATGTAGGACATTAAGATACAAGAAACAGAGATGCTCTACTAGTAAAAGCACAAAGTAATTTCGGCATACGTAATTTGAATATGAGATAGACGTGAAAAACGTCATCGCGCATATAAGATCTCGCGCAACCATTTCTATGATGTTATCGCATTGATCGGTTGTTCTCAGTTCAATTTTCAGAAAGGTTACGTTCTTTCAAAGATTATAACAATGAGTATGGATGAAGTTATAAGTACAAATCTATTCTTATTCCAAAAAGACAAAACAGCTGTAGGATGATGCGAGCTTCAGGCACATGCATGGCTTTAGGGGTTGCAGAAATGAACAAACTTGATTCGATTGAGCCGTTACGGCTAGTATAATGGTTAATTAAGTAAATCATCAAAACTTAAAATAAACGTTTAGTGACGAATAAAGCCAATAATGATGTGTGAAAATGAAGCTTCGTGTAGGCGGATTTCCGAAATTAACAGTTGCGTCAACTTATTTCCGTAAATCTGATGAAAACGTTTCCATATTGAAACTTTGACAGGAAAAGGATGGACTGCTGGCGGATAACAGAAAAAGAACAAATTTCTATGGAAGTTCGGCATTCGTGCATTGTTATGAAGCAAAAAAAATTATTTTTTCTTGATCACTGAAAAACAAAAAAAAATTATTTGTGTTTCATTGACAGCTAGGTTTTCACATATTCAAGCTATTTGCATAACTATATCATATAGTAAAGAACAGATTATCTTTTTTGAAATTCTAATTTGATTTCAGATTATTTCTGAACGAATAATTCATAAACAGTGCTTGCTCGAAGGAACTCGACTATAGAATGCACAACACAGAATCAAAAACTATATCTGACGTTGCCTCAGGCTGCGAGCTGAATTCGTACTTCACCAGCGGAAGGTGAATGAAAAAGACATTCGATAGAAGATGGGTTTGGTGAAATAGTGAGAATATCCTAATTTGTCTGTCGAAACCCCTCTAATTAACCGAATAGAGGATTAAGGGGCTATGAGGAGCCAGCAGAACGAGCAGTCTCAGAAAAGTAGCTGAGGTCCAAAGTGTACAACTAGCCTTGGAAATAATTTTCATCACAATACTACTCTAGGAACAACTACCAAAAGTGACGCTTACTTCACTTCATCACTACTGACAATCTTGCTTCACAAACAGATGCAGTACTTATGAATTTCTAAGAACAGAGCTGAAAAAGCATCAAAGTGTTCAGTCAGTGTTCTCAATAGTCACCGATGAACATAAACGAATCACTTTTAAATTCAAAATTTTATTAGCAGACAGCAGTTGGACCAGCAGGATATCATAACAAACTAAATAACTAATCATCAGACAATATATATATTTTCATACTACAAAAGCAAACAAGAATAGAAACTAATGGACGGCGTTAAACATCAAAGACTTTAAAGTTGCAATTTCCTTTTCCAATCGAGACGCTTCTTCTTTCAAATACTCATTACGAGAGCACAAACGGGACTTTTCCTAAAAAAAATAGAAAATTAAACCCGTGCCTGCTCCAGGATAACTGACGTCTTTCTCTGAATCACGAGTTTCTCGCATTTTATCTCGATACCGACGAGCTGCAACACGATTCTGCTCCTTTTTTCTCTCGTTAATCTCGTCTTCTGTGAATTCTGCGAGACTAACACCAGGCGCTCTTTTAGGAGCAGGACCCTAAAGATGGAATTTAATTTAGAATTTAAGCGTAAATGTTACAGTGATGGAAGAGGAGCTAGATTTGCGTTTGATGGTTGAAGAGGGCTTGGCAACAGGTTGAAGAACAACTTTGTACTCATTTCCATCTTCACCAATTATAGTCAATGGATGTTCGGGAGTTAATATGAGAGTATCCGTTTTAGTGGAACTCACAGAAGGTGAAGGTGAGCAAGCTGATTCTATTTGTGGAGCCTTAAGAATTGAGAAAATGGTAAGAATTTCAATTATTCAAATAACCTCTCCCTCCTTTGAAATTTCTTCACGAGCTGACAGAATGAGATTATCCAGGAAAGATGACTCTTCTGGAGCCAGAACGGCAGGTTGAGGATCTTCAATATTATTAGTATAAGAGAGCTAAAAAAAAGTTTTTTCTTACTTATATAGTCCCTGTATGAAACAGTCACATCTTGAGCGAAGTCTTCGAAGTTATAATCGTTTAGTTCAACGTTTCCAAAGTTGTTATTACATCTGAAAGAGATAGCTTGATGAGGCGACAAAGCAGAGGCACTTACAGATCAGAAGGAATAGAAGAAGAAAATGTTAAGGAATTGTTTTGAGAATAATCATATATATATGCTGGAGAACTGCTGCTGAATTGAGAAGCTGGCGATAGCTCTTTATGCGACAAAGCACTGGAAATGACAGTTATAATATCACTACACACGGAAACAAAATGTAAGATTCCGAATAAAGACAAACCTGTTGGGACGGGACAAGGTGGTGGTGTAACCCGAGCCCGATGATATCGTTGCCGATATACAAGCCTCCCTACAAGTTCATATGTTACAGTATGTATTGTAACAACAGCCGGATAAAAATTATGAAAACAACTTACGGAACAGGAGCCACACATGGAAGAGTTGTTGGACATTGAGCAGTTATTAGCGGTGGCGGTGGTGGTTGAGGCCCACTTAAAAACACACTTGCTGTCGGGGGGAGGGGTAGTGCACGGTTTTGGTTGAGCACAGCGAACTCTCTGTTGGCAGGTCTGAATCATATGCTAATTTGTGGAATTAACAAACATGATATACGTTAAGGGAGAAAGCTTCGAAGTTGTCGTTGTCACACCAAACTCCCCACTCGCCTTCTGGAGACATGTTCAGAGATTCATTACAGAATTCATCTTCCGAGAACGAAGAAAACATAAACCGACTCATTCTAAACGAGAATATAGTATTAGTAGGTAGTAGTAGTTGTAGAGTAGTCTATATATGTAGTTCAACTTACTTTTTAATATTGAAAACGTTGAAGTAGACGTAAGCGCGGAGGCGAGAAAGTTGCGATAGGCTTGGAGCGAAGCACAAAAGTTTGAACGAAACTGAAAAAAAATCGTCGAATGTTAAACACGAAAGAAATATTTTGATTCTTATAAAATTGATAGATTAATGCTATGAAATCATATGTTAGTTGATAAGACTAGCTTCTCTGCATCAATCGATTAATCAAAACAATCGCATATCGAAACGCGACGCTCTACAACGCACTTCGACCGCATTCATCTGGGTCGCCGCCGCCAGGCGTGATGCAATCCTATTGGCCAGTTCATAGCGTTGGGCGGAGTTTGTGTGGTTTGCGCGTATAATTCACGTGATCATCATGCAAAAGGTTAAAATACATGGAAGGAATACTTCATCCAAAGAACATTCGTAATGTTTTGCTAAGAATGGATGAAAGAAATAGTAAGTGTTTGCATGGTGAGTATGAGAGAGGTTGAAGAAGTAGAGATCATTAGCAGGAAGATTTTGGAAAGTTAAATGTTCTTTGATTATTGTGAGAACGATAAAAATTCTTTGAATGCAAGAAAATGAATATACGATAGACATTAAAATTCTTTTTGTGATGATGCTAATATCTTGTCTTATTTCTCATAACAGTTTATATTAGAACTTATTGGAACCTGATCGAAGAGAGAAATGATTAAAGATAAGATTAATAACGATAAGGAAAATTGTATGCTACAGATCAAAGAAAGTACTCAACCGTTCTGTCATCATGAATGCCATTCAACAATGAATAAGAGGCTAAGCTGTTTTTACGTGGAACAAGGAAATGGCGTACGCCACGTGTAATCAGCATAATCAACAACCCACCCTAAATGCACACGTGTAATCTTTTCTTCTCATCATCTTTGGAGTTTGTCATTTTGCTCACTTCGTTAATTGGAATAGGGCACACCTATAAACCCTATGTTTAAACCTTCAAGGTGATGTTAGGGGGAGGCTTTTGAAACCCATCATCTGTAGGAGCAGTTATTGTTTGTAATGTTTCTATTTGATGCAATCGGTGAATTCGTGAGTTCTAAACATTTTTTCCGGTGGTGTGGTTAGGAATACAGGATGATAGGTTTAGGTGGAAAGATAGAGTCATAACTTTCGAAATAAGTGGTTTTATGGAGATGAATGAGTGTTGCGAGATAACGACCTGGAACAATCAGAACCAAAATATAAGAAGAAAAAAAAAAGATGAAAAGGAAATGATTTTGACGGCAACTCAATTCGCACGCATTTGTCGCTTTCTAGGGCTCTAATGATTGGCTGAAATTAGAGCTGTCGCTCAAAAGCTAAAGAAAAAAAAAACTGATAAGATGATTAGAATGTGAATGGTCAACTAAGTTACCTTCACAGATTTTTCATTTAGTTTGCGAGAAGACTAAAGACAATCTTTCATGAATGGGAATGATTTTACATCAACTTCCATCACGACAACGACTACCGTATCCAACGCTACTCCGAAATCACCAGCGCCTCCCCTAACTGTTCAGCATAGCACGAACGCTGATTGGAAAGACGACAATGATCCCACATTTCTACCAAATACCATAAAAGGTACAAGTTTGTTGAGTCAAAACAATTTTTTTTATTCAAACAGGCTAATTATTCAAACAGATATCTATAACGAAGATGGGTTTTATAATTTGGAAAGCCAGTCAACGCCATCTTCTGTTGTGTCCTCCAGTTGTGCTGCATCTATCATAAACGAGTATTCTAATCAGGACCCGAACTTTGCCTCTGAAGATGATCCAGACTTGCAAGGCCCACGTTCCACTATGCGGCGTTCAGCATCGTCAACTGATTCGCAGGTGGCTTGTTTGAACAACCTTAAACTTTCAAAAACATGAAAACACATGAGTGAGCTTTGGCTTTTGTCCTCATCAAACCATTCCCAACCATGTTTCTTTACAATAATTGATTTTTCATTTTTCAGTCTTTCCCAAAACGTAGGAGTAGACGCAAAGAGCCCCTAACTGAACAACGAAAATTTAATATAGCAATGGCCAAGAAATTATCTCCAATCGCAAAGTATAAGGTACGTTATAATCCAGAAAAAATTATTACACCATCAAATTCATAAATGCAATGCATTTCTATGAAAAGTACCTTTGAGAATCTAGTAGGGCTACAGTCAGCCAACAATGCCTGGATAACATGAAGTATATCTGTAATCTTTCAGGAACAGATGAAGAAGGTGAAAGCGAAACGGAACCAAAGACGAAAGTTCTCTCTCATTCATAGCTTCGAAAGTTCTGTTTCAACAAAGAGAAGGGAAGTCATAGATAGGTCGTCATCGCTCAAGTTTCAATGTTTCCTTCAACCACCTCCATCTCCTACAAATGTGCATTCACCTCCAACTTCTACAGTTTCTACACTCACCCCTCTACCACAACCATCAGCATTTTATCCACCACGGCCAATGTATATAGTAGATGATACAGCCACCACAATCAGCCAGTTCCCTCAGGAAGTTATTGCTTATCAAACGCAAATAGCTTCATCAACAGCATTATACTCAGAAAACTCGACAACAGCCATAACACCGACTGCCGTAAGTTCCTTTTATCGTTTTCAAATTTTAATCTCAAATTTCGCTTTCTCTTCTGAGCTCCATATTCGGTTCATTGGTTGATTAACGGTCGCATCGACAAAATTTAATCAAAAATTCAAATTTTAATGTTCAAAATCGGAACATTTTTGACGAACCATCCGAAAACTGTAAAAACCCATCAAACTGTCCACGTGCCGTGATTGATTTTCAAATATTATCAAAATTAAAATTTTTTTTTCCTCTAAGCACCTATGTGTTTCAGTTACGTAACGCCTCCATCTTCGTTCCAAATAACTGACTTATACCAGGAATGAGAAAACAGCTCTGAAGATTATATAAGAGGAAGGAGAGAGAAAAATTTTTTTTTGTTTGGAAAGTCGGGTTTTCAAATGTTTTGAGATTTGCGTTCGTTGTGTTCGGGTCCCAATTAACACTTTGCTGGTACAAGAAGAAGAATAAATATTTGTATTCAACCAGGGCATACCCTGTTACGTATTCCTATTATATTTTTTTCCAAAAAAAATGATAAAAAAAATGTGATAAAATTTAAAGACAAATAGATAATTATGGAAGAAGACTCTTCAAGTGTTCATTGGTTCGAAAAAAGTTGTCAAATTTGACTCCTCGAACAACGAAGGCCGCTTGACACAGTACATGATGGAGAGATGCTCACATAATTAGCAGAGTTAGGAAATCTTATATTTTATCTATCTAGCGTTACGTGACCTACGTTCATGCTCGGACGTATACAATACGGACAGCTTTGACAACGGATTCCCATTCAACTTCATGTTTGTCTATTAGGTGCCGGATTGCTCAGTTGACAGTCTCAGTCCATGAATGAAATAGTTTCTTCTGACATCACTTGTTTTTTCAACAACTAGAGTGTCAGTCTCATTTTGGATGAACCTAGTTCTTTGGTGACGAGTACGAGGGTATTGTCATTAATGATGTTCGAGTCATGAAATCATCTTGTTTTCAACATCTCGCATCATCCAAAATGGACATGAGATATTCGAGTTGCTTTGGAGTTCGCACAATCAATTAAGCAAATGAGTACACATCTGAACTCGTTTTAGATACAGTTGTACAGTTTTCAGATGGGCCACTGATCCAGGTCTTAAAGCAAAGATCATTTTATTTATTAGTTATGTTCCCGCTGGTTTGCAGAACAGAATGATAAAGAACTAAATATGTACTTTGTAATTCAGCCAAGTGATACAAAATCCTACCCATTTCTTATTTTTGTTTCCCTTCAAGTCTAGGAGGAAACAATGCTGATCCTTGCTCACCCATATTATATACGGTGAGGTCATTGAGACTCATCTGTCCGTTCGCATTTTCTTCAGCTTTGCGCAGTGGCGATAACGTGATCAATGAGGCTTTGCCGAGATGCGTTTATTGCTGGTTGAAAACTTCTACCAATTACCCGCG